GTTGCCGCTAAACTGCACGATATAAAACGGTGGTCTTCAAAGCGGATTTAATCCTCAATCACAATAATAATATTCAAAGTAATACTGGACAAGTAATGGGCTAAACTTACCGTTGATTGACGTGCCATGTCAGCGGACTGGTAGCGACACAACCGTTAGCCCCGCAGTCAACCCTCGTCGTTCTGATAGCTCCGCCCCTTCGCTCCAACCCCCCTGCCTCCCCCCATATCTACAGGTGAAAATTACTTTTGCGACACATTTATCGCAAGAAGTGTCTCAAAAGTCAAGGCCGCAGATTCGTCGATTTATACTGCCACAGAGCAGATTCGTGAAGTTGTAATGACTGATTTGAGAGGTTGTATTAACCAAGTTGCAGTTGTAATGGAAAATATATTTAAAAAATATATATTTTTAGCTACAAAACTTTTTTGACTTCAAATTTGGTTCACAGATACGTGGATATTTTATACAAGTGTAAATGTATGCACACAAGCTCAGATTTTTTTTCTGCAAGTGCTCACATCAGGTTTTACACGCTCTCGCATTTTGCACCATATCTACCTTCATACCATGCATCAAACACCACTGAATAGCAATGTACTTAACATAGAAACATCTAAATAAACATAGATATCCACTTATGAATATGTAAAGAACCAAAAATACATACAGGCAATGCTTTCCACAACATAGCAAAGAAGGATGGATGCAAATTCAAACTCTAATATTCTCATCTCTGTCCCTGTCAACCACTTATCACTTCCTATGTTTTCAATGTAAGTCTTTCCCATTGGCTGCTACTAACAAAAGAAGAAGTACAACAAAAAACAACAGCACCACCTGCTGGCTGGAGTAAGACAGAATCTAATGCTGCGTTCACACCGGACGCGATGCGAATCTCCAATCGCTCAAGTTTCACCGCGGCTTGCAGTTTGTTTTATCGCGTCATTCAAAACAGACATACCGTTGACGCGCCGCGCCGTTGACGGACAGTTGAGGTTGTTTACACTTCCATGCAAGATCGTTTTGGTTATTTCTGTCCTTGACTATGGAGGATATAACAAAGTTATTGTTGCTTTGTACCTTCTGTGGAAGTCCTACAAACGTAGCAACAAACGCCGTCGTTTCTGGATTCTTATTCTCCTCCAAGCCAGCTCCTTTTTGTTGCGGTCCCGGTAGATATACGACATTGTATCGTTAATCTCCGGGAACCCACTCACAGCCACAACGATCATCTCTTCCATCTTTACAACTGATCAACAGCAGGACGTCAGAGGGACGTCAGAGGGAATCCCAACGCTGATTGGCTTTCGCGAGAACGCGTGAATTTGAGGCTCGAGTTGAAAAAATTGAACCCTCGCGTTTGACGCGGCCCTCTTCAATCGCCTCAATCACTTGATTCGCGCCTCGTCCACCGCTTCATGCGCGCCGTCGGAGCGAATCCGTCTGTCCGCATCTCTGCATTGACTTTACATGTATCGCGCCGCCCTCGAAAATCGCATCGCGTCCGGTGTGAACGCAGCATTAGACAGCACAGGGTATATTCAAGCATTTTCAAAAACATTGATGTTGCCAAGTAAGTAGGACTTCTGCAATAATGTTCTTCTGTGTGTTTGATGTGTGCTGATTATACATTAGGGGGGAATCTTTCCAGAGTTGTTTTTAAAGAATTACGTTTATGTTTCTCCCTCACAGATTCCTTTTATGTGACGGACCTTGATCCTATCAACCTGCAAATCATCCAGTGTGAGACACAGACAGCTACTGAAGGAGCCTGTTAAATATTCAGTTGACCGGCAGGACAGAAGGGCAGCCATGTTGATCATCTTAGCCTTCATCATCCTGTTCCATGTGGCTGCAGCCATCCTCCTCTTTGTTGCAACCATTCACAATGTGAGTATGAGACAAAAAGGGCCACACATTAGACACTAAGGAAGGGGATCAGGGCATAAGGGGAAATATAGGAATAATCTCAACTACTATCTTTAGCATATATACTAAATTTCACTTATTTTGTTATTTTGACTTTATTCTGAACATATAGATTTCACATTTTGACTTAAATTTCAACATTTGGAGTGAAACCTTGACAATACCTGTTCAACATTTCAGCTTTATTTTGCGACATTTCAAATAATTTTTTGACATTGGGTCTTCATTTTCTCAATTAAACAATTTCGCAAAATAACGATTTTATTCCTTCGTCTCAATATTTTAACTTTATTCTCTTAGTTTTAATGGTATTTTCAACCGTTTAACTTTAATTTTGACATCTTGACCCTATATTCTTAACATTTCATAATTGTTTTAAAAAGACAAATAAAGAAAAATCAACTTCTATATTTTTGCCCCTTATGCCTGTCCCAAATACACTTTTAATAATTGTAACCGTTGTTTCGTCCCCCCCTGATTCAGGCATGGTGGGTGGTGTCGCAGGCTGGCCGGGATGTGGTCTACGCTGACCTGTGGTACACCTGTAACTCCACCTGTTTTCCTGTGGAGAACAGCCATACTGTTGATGCAGGTAAGACAGTGTGTAGTTATTCAGCCTATGTGTGTATACTGTAAGTATCGTGTTTACGTATGCAACACCTCCTTTCTCTTTTCTCCTCAGCATATCTGCAGACCATCCAGGCTACTATGATCCTTGCCACCATTTTATGTTGTGTCAGCTTCTTCGTCTTCATCCTTCAGCTCTTCAAGCTCCAACAGGGAGAGAGATTCATTTTCACCGCTATCATCCAGCTATTGGCCGGTGAGTGACATCCACACACACATTTAACACATTTGTAGTCATTAGCAATTTTTTATTCCTCCTGTTGGTGCTCATAAGCCTGGGTCGTTATAAAAGAATGATGATCCAGTTACATGTCCTTGTTATGGCAGGATTTATGGCCACACGTTTCATTTTCAGACTTGATGCACTTTTAGACCATGAATATGTTCAGCCCAGCCCGAGTGTTGGGTTAAAGTGTTATTATTTGAATTTCCTAACATTTAAGAAAACATAGCAGAGCCTTTACTGTCATCATGTCATCATGTGGTGATTTGGTTTCCAGCATAGTGTCATCAAAGTTACCCAAAAACTTGAAATTGTATATACTGTTCACTTCAATGGGATTGTCCGTTAACCCTAACAGCCAGGAAACAATGGCAAAGAGAGGAAGAAAACCTTTCAAAATTAGACACCAAACAACAGAAAAATGCAGTTTCATGATATACACTATGAATCTTAGGAAATGACAGATTTCAGGTTTGAATCAATGTAATCCACTTTAGCAATAGACATTCTGTTGGAGTTGACTATTTAAAGGAAATAAAGCTATTCAGAGATCCCTAAAAAAGTGTCACGTTATTTCTATAAGTGGTCCCGATTGGCGTCAGAAGGATTGTTGAACATATAAGGGTTTGAATTACCTCATTGACAGTCAACTTTAATTTCCTCTCTCCTCCTCCCAGCTCTATGTGTGATGATCGCAGCGTCTGTCTACACGGCTCAGAAGAACAGTTTCCACTTGGCCAATCTCCGGGAAGGCACCTACGGCTCCTCCTACATCCTGGCCTGGATCAGCTTCCCGATGATTCTCATGAGCGGCCTCATGTACCTGGTGCTCAGGAAGCGCAAATAGATGTGACGCACAGGCAGGCAGATATCCAACAATATAAAAAGGAACACTTGGACACATGCATAAAGTCATACACTTTGACTCAACAACCCAGCATGCTAACATTCTGTCTCTTACCCTTAGGTTTTATAAGAGCATGTGATGCGCCAAGACTGTCCAGACACCCAGTTAGGTCCATTGACAGACTTTTCTTGACACTTCTTTCCATAAAAGTGCCTTAGAAACACTTTAGACAATGGACTTAACTAAACAACGTTGAGTTGGACAGTCTTTTTTTGCATTACATCTACTAAAACATGTTAAGCAAACATATACTATGATAAATACAATTTTGCCAACTGTTCTGGATAGATTCACGTACATGAAGCTGAGGTAAAATATATGCAATACAAATGCAGAGGAGCCAATGCACCACACGTTCTCCACTTAGTTACTGCTTTGGATAGAAAATGCCCCTTGCTGCCTTTAGAGAGAACATGCTTTCACCATCTTCTCTCACTCTTAGCGTCGACACAGGACGTTGTTCCAACATACTGTCCACTTGTTTCATTGTGTCCTTTTGACCGTTCAAAGGGACCTGTCTGAAATTCCCAATCCCGAAGGTTAAAATCAAAGACAAGTGGGGAAGTTTGTCTTATTGGGAGGCAGGACTTTATAAAGGGTCCATATTTTTTTGTTGTGAGTGAATCTTTAGTCAACTGAATTTATTTTGTACATATTTGCTGTGTATGTATAGTTTAGGTTATAGCCAAAAGCTTATTTTCTAAGACTAAACAAAATGATCTTATGTTAACCATAGCATGTAGGACTTGTAGTGAAGCACTAGTTGAAGTATAATATATAGGATTTTAACTTGTTATTTTTATTTTACTGACTTGTGTTGTAATGATGAAAAAGGAACCAATGATGTGCTGTGATATCTGAGATTTCAAATGGCAACAGAGGAATGTGTAAACTTGAAATAAGAATGAACTTTTCTTTGTTACTCTTTTTTTGTTCACAGCTTCACTGAGAAAAAAACATTGCTATTTATTGATTAAAACCACTGTTGTGTACTTTGACCATCATGTGACAAAGGATGTATGAAGTAATTAAGTCTTGCCATATTTGTTTCCCTCTTTTGGTCCAAACTGTTTGTTTGATCGATTACTGAAACATCTCTAACACTCCTGTTCGTGCTCCGGCATTTAACAACAATAAATGTGTCACTGTACTGTACCCCAAATTCCCAGAATACTTCAAATTTTGTGGAAATATAGGGATAATGTTTGAGATAATATGTAGACTCTTTTGATGTTTCTTTATCTGAGTTTGGGGTTGTAACAGTTAAGGGAGACCAGCATTCATTCATGCATACAGCTTGGACTTGATGGATCCTTCCGGTGCACAGTTGATTTTGTGATAGGAATGTGTTTGTGTTGTTTGGTCCACAGACTGGTAACTTTTTCATCAATAATGAAGATGCAGGAAAAAACAAGAACGTGAAGATTTTTTACTCTTATCTCGAGATACTTGAAAATGATCAAAAAAACATATTGGAAGCCAAGTTTGTGTTTGTTTTTCCAGATCATTTTGTGAAGATGTCATCTTTAGAGTGTTCGACTAAATAATAAGCCTCCTGTTTCAATGCAAGTTTTTTTTTGCAAGACCTTTTTTAACCTATATTGAAATGAAAAGTAAGTTGCTAGCTCATGTCAAATGATTTCAAGACAGATCTAAATAAAACGATTACTTCAATGTGCAAAGTCCTTTGCAAATATTCAACAGCAACCACAGGATTCACCTCTAAGAGCATCTCTTGAGTATAATTGGTCACGTTTCGGTTTATGGTCGTTATAATTGTTCTGCAGTTTGTTTGATGTCAATGTAGATGTAATGTTCCTTAGTCAATGTAAATCTACACTAATAACCACAGTAACAAATGAGCATATGAGTGGTTGAAGCCTCGACTGCATTCAAGGGGATTTAAAAAAAAAAAAGTAAGCGGTTTGAATTAGGGATGCAAATTATCGATTAATTCATTAATCATTAGTTGATTGACCTTATCGATCGATTAACGATTAACTGATATAAACGGCTTTTTTCCTGAGAATGTACATTTCTCACTGTATCGATAGTGTCTTTAACATAAAAAGCTAAATATTGCTTATTTACTGAATAAAAATGCATGCTATATTGCACAATTGATGTTTTATTGTACCAGTTAGGATAATGTGCAGATAATGGCATTTATGTAGTTTAACAAAATAAATTAAGCACAGAAAATTCAAATACATAAAAAAATAATTGTGCACTGGCTCACCTGTCGCATGTGAAACATTAAGCAAAATAAAATTAATTTTAAATAGAAATCTAAACAATATGGGTAGGCATAGCCTACACAATATTAAGCCTACACATTATAATCTGGTTAACTACATATGTAAAACTTGAAACATTAGCAGCAGCATTTATAATCCCCTTTGGTCTGAGAAAGGTAACAGTAAGATAACTAGCCCTGGAAACTTCAAATATATTCTGAACACAACTTAAATCATCCCTGAGGAAGGTGACAGTAACATTAGAGGGCGACCCTTAGAACAGTCAAATGAAGATATAGGCTACCTCTCCTGAAACAAAAACATGCCTGTCTCAATGTGTTTTGAATAGGCTCCTGACCTAGACCCCTCTATTTTTGTTCATGAAAATAAGCATATTAACGTGGTCAGGAGTAAGTCGTGTGCGCAGCCTGTTTACAGTCAGGCCAGCT